ACCCACCTCAGCACCACGACAGATGGCCACAGGAATGCCACCTCGAGCAGAGGGTGGACGACCGTCTCGGGCTGGGAGGGGGGGAGACGTGCAGGCGGGGAGCGACCTGAGATCAGAACCACCCCCAAAACCAGTGCTCGGCCGAAGATGCCAAAAAAAAGACCCCCACTGTACCGAAGGCCGCGGTGTTTCACCCACCTTCTGCGCCCAAATCAGAGACGATGGGGCCGCAAAAGCTCCATGACCCAGGCCCAAAAAAGAATCTGGATCGCATCTTCGTCTCGAGACCCCCTCATATCATTTCGCAGTGTCTCTCGTTCTGTCCCCGCTGCGGCCTGCCGCGCCAGTAACAGCAGCGCGCGCTCGTTCGCACACACACGTGGGGCCGAAATTCAGTCAATTGGCCCCTCGTTGAAGAGAGCAGCAGAGGCGCAATGATGATAGAGGAATGCGTAAGAGAAAAGCCGCTGTTGCCTCCAGTGCCAATGGTACCCGCAGGTGGCGCAAGGGTGGTGCAGCTGGTGCTGGACACCCAGTAGAGAGAGAAAATTGGAGGTTGTCATGTGTCGCGCGGGGCGCGGGGAGCGAGCCCCAGGTAGGAGGTCATCACAGGTGGTTTCTACGACTCCAGAAAATCGACGGCGCCGGCCGGCGTGGATATCGTAGCATCGTCAGCGGATGTGGAGACATTCGGCTCAGATGTCAGATTGTCTTTCCATGTGCTCCGAGCCAAGAAGCCGGTTCAACGGTGCCCTGGCCGTCTTCCATTGGGTCTCCGGCGCATGTCAAGAGGATTTCTCGGAACGACGATAATCGCCGCAGCTGGAGCCGGTCGCCCGCCTGCTTGCCGATGCCTTACCGAGCCTTACTGTGCCAGTGACAGTGTGCCACACACTCTCACGGTGCCGGGCATACGGCAATTTTTCCTTTCCGTCTACCATTTTCTCGTGCATTCTGTGTATTCCGTGCTCGCAGGTGAAAGGGTGTGGAGGTGCGGGGGTCAGTCGGCAATCTTCTCCTTGCCAGCGATTCACACCCAGTCATCGTCCACCATCAGCCCTCATAAAGGTTGTCCGAGTCTAGCCGGGGAGCAACAGGCCTGGCATTTTCCTGGCCTTGGCAAGTTTTAGCCCTCGGTGTCACTTGCAAGTCAGGTATGTGATTGTCGGGGAAGGATCTCGTGACCTGCAAGTATGTTCCCTCGACAGCTCGTGCTCGACTCACCTTCCACCGGGTATGCATCTCGAAAGGGGACTGCAGGCTCATGAAATCAGCTGACAGGCCATGCGTTTTCAGGTCATGACGAGGCTTCAACCACTCCACCTCCACCCCATGACCACCGCACCGCTTAAGGACAGCCGTTTGGCCGGCATATGGTGAGTGACGAAAGCTAGATCACTTCACCACTTGTAACGCATTGAACGGTCAAGTCGGCTGGCGTTGCCTACTTCTTCGATTTTGTGGTTGGCCCTGCAAGGATGGAAGCGTCCGTCGTCGTACCGGTTTGCCCTCTTCTTCTGAGGTAGAGGCTGGCTTCAAGTGGCAAAAAAGAATGTAGCCAAGTGCTATTCGATCTGCCCGAGTCCTCCACAGGCTTTGACGGATCAAACTGCATTCCCGAGATGATTGACCCAACAGAGACCAGATCTGAAGAGACTAGAATCTGCCCACTCTCAAGATGAATGACGGTAGGTTCCGCGGCTGCTAAGGTCGCCAGCTATGCGACCAGACGGGCCGCGGCCGCGGCACCCCTGGGAGCTTGGCATCCAACTGAGTCAATTTCAACTTCGTTGATGACCGGCATGCCGCATTGTCCCATGAACAGACCAACTCATCACCGGCTTGAAGTCCCTGCCGAGCCAACAGTCCTGTTGAGGGGTGGCCGGAGTGCGCTATACTGCCACAAAAGAAAGGCATTGTGATTCGGTCATGCATTAGCGGAGATGATTTGGCAGTGTTACCCGAGAGGCGAGCAAAGCAGAGTTTTTCCAATAGTACCAGGGGTGACTTGGAACCCCCTCTCAAGCCACAGAAGAGGCATGGAGCTGGTCAACGTAGGCAGGAAACTGATTGTGCTAGCCGGAGGTCTCATCCGGCCAGGCAATTGATTTGTGGGGGGCGGGGGTTACGAGTGCCACATGTTGTTGGTATTGATGGGTGTCAGGGTCAACCAGAATGGAGATACTTCGCCTGTTTCGATCAGCTTCATGGGGCACAATAGCCTCGGGCAGACGCCGTCATCCTCGATACAGCCCTGCTCGACTGGTTACGGAAAGATCGGTCCGTTCACAGTATGTCGGCCGCGTTGTCTCGAGGTCAGACGCTGCAGCCGTGTTGGTGACGGTGTGGTTCAACCTGCAGGTTCATCTTAGCCGTGAGCAGACCGCGCGCCGCAGGCCTCAGGCGTTCGGCGTTATACAATCATCTAGCCAGACCGCCATGTTCGATTGTGCCAGGGGTTTCGCTTTTCGACATGGCCGCAGCTTGATATGGAAGTTGAGAGGCAAGACCAATCACGAAGTGGTATGTTAAATCGCATACGATCTTGTGCTGGACACCTGATCGTATAGAGCTGGGCTGTTCCTTGTTTCCGTGATCAATTGTCGGTACGTTACAAATTACGTCGTCGATAGCAGTTGTCTGTGGTCGTCTTAAAAGCGGCGTGCGGCTACTCGAGCGGTGGTAGTGGCTGATGGCCGAGTCGTGAACTGGCCTCGGCGCTTAGGTCAGAATATTGGTGCTGATTGGTGGTTGCCAGCGCGCATGCGGTTTCGTCACACGCTTATCGCATGCCCAGGTGTTGGAGCTCGTCTGTTGCGTTTCCGAGCGGGAAAATTGATGCCTCGATGACCTCTTCTTGTGTTTGTCCCCGCAA